CCCCAAAACCCCCCAAAACCCCAAAACCCCATAGGAACATATTGTAATATTTGGAATTACAGTTAATTAAAAAAATAGATCAAACCAACTAAAATAAACTAATAAATAAGTCCTCAGGAGTAAATATCACTATTATATTATCTTTTCCCCTTTATACATAGCGAGTATAGCAATGTTTAGTATTAAAAACTCTATTTGAGCTACTTTAGTGCTGATAGATTTATTGAGCAAATCAATCTATAATTTACAAGATTCTAGGGTGGCATATAGAGCTATCTATAATCTCGAAATTTTCTTTATTCAGCAGTTTATACTTTTTCTCTTGGAAAATCAGCATGTGAGGATCCTTTTTATATAATCTAAAGTAACTATTAGAATAGATTGAATGTAAGGAGGGTCCTCTTGCATTGGGTGCTGCTCTAATTGAAAGTTTTTAAATATTAAACTCATAATGCTCAATTTTCCCATTTCCACTAACTCCTATTTTAGTTTTACTCTTGACATTGAAAATATTCTCTATTATACCCCTGTTGTTTCTTATTACCTTTATTATTTTTATGATCCCTGATCTTTATTTATATTTACACAGTTCAATAGCAAATTGAAACTATATTACTATATGATTTCTATTTAATTTGAAGACATTTATTGGAATACCCAGATATATTTATTTTGAAATTAGTTTGAACTTTTATGACTTTATTTAAAAATCTTTATTGATTTTTATTGTCATTACCATAAATTTAGATATTTGATTATTTTGACTGAGAAACACGAGTAAAGTTGTAGTATTTAATGCTAAGATCAAAGCTTATTTGAATAAGTTTAAAGATGATATGTCGTATTTCGTTCTTATAATATTTTTTTCAACAAGAATCAAACCAGATTCTGTTAGCAGTATAATAACCTTCTAGCCCTCTATTGTTTAAAAAGGTGTATAGCCTAGAACTGCTTCATCAAATGTTATAATACTTTCTTTTGCAGAATAAAAGTCTTCGATAATAATAACGCTGTAATCATTGATAATATAGATTAAGTTATCTATAACACACATATATTTCATGTCTTAATACTCTGTTTTAAAATATGTCTCTCTCCAACCATAATATTTAGAGTTCTTATAAAATCTTGTTTAAGCTTTGAAATGATCAATATATTTATGATTCAGCTGTTAATTAAGTTGTGTCTAAATTTCAATCATTTATAATCTTCTTAAAGTCTTTTTCAAATACAATTCTGTAAAAATAATATCTTTTGGCTGATCAGGATTAGTTTAAATTATTATTTCTAAAATTTAAATAATTATTCTTAGAGATTACAGTAAAATCTTGTAAGCTAACTATCCATCTTAATTTTCCAATTATTCTCTTATTACTTGATGATTTTACTTATACTCATCTTTTAATGCTTATATTCGCTTAATTAAATGATATATTTTATCTTGCTAGCTATCATTGCAACATTAGTCTTCTTTATGAAGTGATATTTCTTAATTGAAAATTTTTTACGCTTTATCATTTATTACATCATTAGTTTTTAATAAGGCATTAGTATATTTTATGCAATTGCTGATTATACTATTCATTTCTTTCCATGCACTCCTACATAATTTTCTAGTCTTTAACATTCGAGTTTAACTGAATGGTTTGCATTTATTACAGTAGTAAACTTAATTTGAATGATCATAGAATTTAGCTGATTTTATATTGCACTGTGGACAGAGAATAATTTTAAATTTGAGATATTTTTGCGACATTTTTATAACTAATTAATTTTACATTTTAATAAATATCTTGATTATAATGTTTATAATCAGCAATGTGGGGTTTTGGGGTTTTGGGG